AGCAATGGATTCTACAGAGGAAAAAGACATGTGCTACCCAGATGTTTGAAAACACCGACACAGTCAAAGGACAGTAACATCTGCTTTAAGCTCCAGATTTTAATATATGTGCTCATACACCTAGAGGCCAGACAGTTCTTTTACTAATAAAACAAGGTTTTGGATATCACAAAAAGCAGACATAGCAGGTTAATACTTCCTATTTTGGGGAGTTATCGTGAAGAATATGGCTGGGGATTTGTATGTCTGAGAGCAAAAACAAAACCCGGCATAATTTGCTGTATGTATTGCCAACTGTAGAGAATTTGAAGATCGTTACTTTAGTCTTTGATGGCAAGCCAGATGACTTCTCGATCGTTGCCATTGGTATTGGAATTTTTTTACATTTATCATATGGATAACCTAATAGAGTTAGGCAACCTGTGATTCTGCCATTTCTTTGAAAGGGGTTTGAAGAACTTCTCCAACTCTTATTTAAAGGGACAGCAGAATATCTGTGTACTTAAGACATGTGATTAATCTGTGATGAACAATCTGTGTGCACGTTTCAGGGCAGCTATTATGATGCTAGCTTTAACTTCTCAGCTATGGGACCACCATAAAGCACATGATTAAACTGACATTAAAGTCAAATATTCCCACCCCCCAATGCTGCTTTAAGGACTTCACTTAAACAATGCCTCTTGATCTGATAATCTTCGTCCTTCCACTAGTATTCAGGAGTCCCCCCAGTGCTGGTGCCGGTCTCTGATCCACTGCAGACTCCTGCCTTCCTGTCCCACGGTGTCTATCCAATGTGCACACTCACAGCTGCATGCATTCAGCTCCACTGTGTGTCTCCTCTTCTCCCCACTAAAGATCTGTACTGCGCATGCGCCTGCGCCATCATCCTGCTCGGCCGCTCGAGAATCCTCAGACTGGAGCGTGCGACCGAGGCAAGTAATTATCTTTTTGGGAACTACTTTTTAAAATGTTGTTTTTGCATATATCTGCTTGCTAGCTGTAGATATATGCAACAAAAAAAAGGAAGGTTTAATTGTACTTAACCCCTTCGTGACTGACGACGTACAGTGTACGTCGCCAGCATCGGGGCTGTTTAAACAGACTCCCGGTGACTTTTGCCACCGGGACTCTGATCCATGAAAACCTAATCAGTGTCTTTAACATGCTATTACACGGGCAAATTGTCAACAGAAAAATTAGTCATTTAGGCCATCTTTGCCTTATTTGAGGAGTGGCTTGTTCTGTAGTGTACAATCCTAAACTCAGTACAGCAACCTGGTCACAGGGCTAAAGCGGACTTTCGCTCCCCCTCCCTTATATAAAATTGCCACACTGAAAGAAAAAACAAAAGGGAAGAGGTGTCAGAAAATACACCATACGTTTATTTTATTTATTTTTTTACCAGCCCAATTTGTCTACCCAATGATCCATTCACTCCCACCAGAAATTCAGCACCGCCATTTTAAAAAAAATGTCAGGCGAGTTTCATGCTGCTAACCGATATTCATGTTGCCAGAGGCCATGGCAACATATAATCAATTATATTAAAAAAAAAAAAAAAAAAGAAGAAGGAACCAGAGCAGCTAGTGGGAGACACGCTGGTTTACACACCCCAAAGTGTGGGAAAGGATTAGTGCAGGGAGCTCTGCCACAGAGTATAGTTTCTGCAAACAGGCCACGGGACAGGCACAAACTAACTTCTATAAAAAAGCTGATTGTTGGGTAACCTGATGTTGGAGAAAATGCTGCCAAAACTATGACCTTCTATAGCAGCACTTCTCCCTATATATGTGCCCAAAGTTTATTTTACAAACTTTTTTGCATGAAATTCCCAGTGGAGAGAGAGTGAGAGAGAGAGAGCGCAACTTGCTTTGAGGCTTCATATGTCTGATTGAAACCTCACACTCTACAGTCTGATAAGGGAGTGGTCACTGCTTAGATCACTCATTAAAGTGGAAGTAGCATTTTCTAAAAATGCTGACAGGTAGGACTTTTATGACAGATGAAACTCTGTATGCTTCTTCCTGTCGGTAAGTGTTTGTGTACACTGAGCCGGTAAGGTTCTGTGCCAGGAAGTAACTCCTGTGTGCATGTACAGGCGTTACATCATCCCAGTCAATCAAGTGGCAGAGAGCGCCGAATCTGGAAGACCAGGTGAAGATGGGACATCGCAGTGCTGGAGGGGGATTGCCTGCAGTGCGAGTCTGCTGTGCATACTAGTATCTTATGGCAAAACACCTCCTGGGGGCCCAACATTTTCTTTTTCTATTGGCAGCTTACGATTGCTATAACAACCAGATTTTTTAAGCACAGCTAAAGAGAAAGGAACATAAATATGTGAAAATGATGCTAGAGCTCTACCTGC